CTGCTCCCCAGCCGGGGAAACAGATCCCGACGCGGGAAGCGCCGTACTCCACGGCTTCCAGGCCTCGGAACTGCTACGAACGGTCCAGAACTGTGGGGCTAGGGCGGAGCGGTGAGGAAACCCCGGGATCTCTAAGCACCACCTCGCCGCACCTGAGGGTGGGCGGTCGCCGCCGCCAGGCCGGGGTCAGGAGGCGGGCGTTCCCGCATTCACCACGAGGGGGCGCTGCCGGCTCAGGAATGGGTATTGCTGAGCAGCCCGGCTGAGCAGGGCCGGCCCGGAGAGGTGAGGTCAGCTCTGCAGTGGGGACCGACTCTGGTCCCAGGGCTATTCTGAGTCTCGGGAGGAGGAGGGGCTTCCGGAGGGTCCTGCCCGGGAAAGTCCGTGAGCACTAAAACGGGAGGCCTGGTCCTGCCGGCTGGCCCTTGGGCGGGGCCTGGCACACGCCCGAAGCCCGCCGCGGGGCAGGCTGGGACTTACCTGCGTAGGGCGGTCCGTAGTAGCTGCGGACATACGTGGCCTCGTGCGCGTTGGGGGGCACCACCTCGTAGTAGTCCTGGTACGGGCTGTAGACGCGCACCTGGGGAATCCGGCGCGGTCAGGTGCCCAAGGCCCGGCTCAGGCCTCTGCATCCCCTCCGGCCCCGCCCCCACGTTTAGAATCGGGCCTCCAGCCGGCTCGGTGGCTCAGCCTGTAATCCCGCGCCTTTGGGAGGCTGAGGTGGGGGATGGCCTGAGCTCGGGTTGGGGACCGGCCTGGGCAGCGAGACCTCATCTCCACAATAAATCAAAAAATCAGCTGGGCGTGGGAGCCCGCGCCTGTAATTCCGGCTACTCGGAAGGCTGAGGCGGAAGGATCGCCGGAGCCCAGCAGGTCGAGGCTGCGGTGGCCGCGAGCGGCCACTGCACTCCAGTCTGGGCGACTGAGTGAGACACCAACTCAAAAAAAAAAAAACAGAGAGAAATGGGCCTCCAGGCACCAGCAAGCACCTGGAGAAAGGCCCTGCCTTCCACACCAGCTCCGTGGCCCTCATCCTCTAAAACTTCAGCCCCTACATCCAGCCCTCAGTGGTGTCCATTCGCCTCCCCTGGCCTCCTGTCTAGCTCAAAAACTTCTCCATGGCTCCCAACTTCCCTTCACAGACAGTCTAATATTTGCTAGCTGCTCCACGATAATCCCACTGGGAGCCTAGCTCAAACCCAGTGGATTTCTCTCCTCTCCTAGTCACAGGGAGGAGAGCGTGGCCAGGCCCCAGGCCCGCGAAATAACTGCGTTGGGGAGGAAAGAAGGATGCAAGGCAACTAAATACAGTCATGCGTTTCTCAAATAACAGACATACGTTCTGAAAAATCTGTCCTTCAACAATTGTCTTTGTGTAGACATCACAGAGTGTACTTATGCAAACCTAGATGGAGCAGGCCACACCTAGGCTATAGGGTACAGCCTGTTGCTCCTAGGCTACAAATCTCTTCAACATGCCGGTGTGCTAAATACTGGAGGCGATTGTAAGTATATGTGTAACTCAACACATCTAAACATAGAAAAAGTGATGCATTGTGCTACCACATTTTGACAGCTACATCACTAGGTGGTAGGAATTTTTCAGTTCCGTTATGATCTTACGGGGCCACTGATGTATATGTGGTCTGTCACAAAGCTTTAATATGCTGCGCAAGGCTGTAACTATTTTTTTTTTTTTTTTTTTTTGAGTTAGAGTCTCACTCTGTCTCCCACGCTGGAGTGCGGTGGCAGGCTCACAGCCACCACACCCTCAACCTGCTGGACTCAGGCAACCCTCCCACCTCAGCCTTCCAAGTAGCTGGAACTATAGGTGCGCACCACCACACCCAGCTAATTTTTTCATTTATTGTAGAGACAAGGTCTCACCAAGTTGTCCAGGCTGGTCTTGAACCTCTGGTCTCAGGCAATCCTCTCACCTCAACCTCCCAAAGTGCTGGGATTACAGGCTTGAGCCATGTGCCTGGTCAAGGCTGTTACTATTATTGAGCATCTACTATGCACCAGGTCCTGAAAAAAATGTTCATGTGTGTTGCCATCTCTAATCCTTAAGGCAGGTATTATTATCTCTACGTTACCATGAAGTTGGAGACTGAGACTTGGGAAATGGTCAGTGTTCTCTCTGGGATGCACTCCCTGCCCTCCCTTTTCTCCCATTAGATTTCTACCAACCCTTCAAAGCTTGGCTCAAAAGTCACCCACTCCAGGAAACCCTCTTGGCCTCAGAAATAATTCTTTCTTCCTGAGCTCTCTGAACAGTGCTTGCAGCTCCTGTTGCTCTCCTTTCTCCTGGCCTTTCCTGTCTATACCCCAAATGGGAGCTACCTGTGGACAACGATTCATTCGTGTCACCAGTAGGCATTGTGCAGAGTAGGAACTAATAAATATGTGATGAATTAAATGGAAGCTCCCCATCCAAACCCCTCATTTTACCCATAGGGGAGCAGACCCGGACAGGGGCAGGATCCCTTTCTCTTCTGGGTCCTCCTCTTAGCCCCCTTCTATCCTGTCTCTCTCTCTCCAGCTGGTCCTCACACCTGAATGGCCAACTCCCTTTAGAAGTCGAGGTGTCTGAAACTGCACTCATCTCAAGGTGACTGCAACATCTCTCCATCTCCCAAAACTGTCCCTCTCTCCCTCAGTGATCTTCTCTGCATACGCTGCCACCATGCACTCAGATCAAGAAAGCAGTCGGCACCCTCATCATCATACACTCGCCTTCCACAACACATCAGCCACCAGGTCTTGTGACTTTTATCTTCTAAATAGGCTCTTCTGTCCCCCCTGTTGGCCAATGCCAAGAGAATCAGCCATTGGTCTTAGCAACTTAGAAGTTATGGGTGAACTTGAAAGAATACTTTTCAGAGGAGTGGTTGGGAGGAAAAGCCAAACAGTGGAGGGTTGAAGAGTGGTTGGGGAGGGAAGGAACCAACATGCCACGACATCTCTCTCAAGAAGTTTGGCTGCAAAGCGGAGTTCTCCAAGTGCACCTTGTGATCTCAGGGCTCTGGGCCATCTCCTTTGATGAGGATGCCCTCTGGCCTTTTCTTACTCAACTCCCTTATTTGTCTTTCAGGCCCAAGTATCACTCTGCCTAAACCTCAGGATCCCCTGGGATCCCATCTGGACACCCGCAGCCCTCGGACTTCCCTCCTCCCAGACACATTCTCACCATTGAGTCTCTGTGAATGTGTGTCTCCCCTGTCAGACCTGGAGACCCTGCAAGGACAGAGGCTGGGTCAAATCAGACAGCAGGTATATAATAAATGTTTATTGACTGTATCTCAAGTGAACCAAATGCAGGGCCAGAATGGAACTAAGGTTGCCCAGCTCTGAGTTCAGTTTCCAGTTAGGTAGAACAAACAGTGCTGAGGCAATGTAGGAGGCTCAGACAAGGAATGCTGCAGGGCCTTGCTTTCAGTTAATTCTCCTTGCTGTCTCCCTCCCCAGGGTGCTCCAACAGGGCTTTCCAGTGAGCGTGGCTGGGATCTGGGCTCCTGTCCAGAAGGGGCTACAGGGTTCTCAGAAATCAGATCCAATTTTACTGGGAGGGCAGTTAAGGCCCAGAGTCTTCACTTGCCCTGCTGCTGTACAGCCAGCCAGTGGCCTCACAAGGCCCCAGAGAGCGTGGAAAATACTACCTCATGTCCCTCTGGGGCACCTCTTTCTTCCTTCCAGGTCTGGGAGGCCCAGAAGTAAACTCATGTAAGTCACCTGGCAACAGGCAGGGACACCTGAGACCCATGGGCAGAACCTGAGGGTTTGATCTCTGAGCCTCTTTCTCTTCAGAGGCCCAGCCCCTTTGTGGGTGGGGACAGGGTTGGCCAACCAGGGGGCCACATGCAAATAAATGACTCCCCTTAGATAAGCTGTTGTATCCTTAGGTTTACAGTATTTTTTTTTTTTTTGAGTCGGAGTCTCACTCTGTCGCCCAGACTGGAGTGCAGTGGCCGCTCCGGCCACCGCAGCCTCGACCTGCTGGGCTCCGGCGATCCTTCCGCCTCAGCCTTCCAAGTAGCTGGAACTACAGGCAAGCGCTACCACGCCTGGCTAATTTTTTGATTTATTGTAGAGATGAGGTCTCGCTGCCCAGGTGGGTCTCGAACCTGCGGGCTCAGGCAATCCACTCACCTCAGCCTCCCAAAGGGGCGGGATTACAGGCTGAGCCACCGAGCCTGGCTGGTTTACAGTATTTTAAATTCTATTTTTAGGCTTCCCCACTCATATCCTAGTTTGGGCATTGGGACTGCCTCTGAATGATGGGCTGGAAGTCCTAGGCTTGCCACTAATTAATCGAGTGGCCCTGATCAAGTTATGCCACCTCTCAGAGGCTTTAGCTCTCTGTCAAGTCTTTGCTGTGCTGCCCACTCCCAAGGTGATACAAGGAACCAGCAGAGTCACACCTATGTGACTTGGTGGCCCTAGCATTTCTAGGCTCAGAGGTTCTGTGCATCAGTCACCAGGAGCAGTTATTTGAATTATGGCTCTCCTAGGCTCCAGCCAGACCTATGGAATTAGAGTGTCCAGAGGTAGTTAGGAACACGTGTTTTTAGTCCCTAAGCAATTCTAATGCACAGTCACACTGAGCACCACTATGCAAGGAGAGCTCACAGGTACTAACTTGAGTCCCCCACTGCCAACACCCCTCCCAGGCCCTGTGCTGAGCACCAAGGACAAAGGAAGGACTCAGGTCCAGACTTTCTTTTTCTTTTTTTTTTCTTTTTTGAGTTGGAGTCTCACTCTGTCACCCAGACTGGA